CAGTGAAAGGAGCACCCGTTTTCTGTGTTTGTGTCTCAAAATACAGGAAAGTTTGCTGCAGGGAGAAGGCAGCAGGCACCAGGAGGCAAGGGAAATACATAGAGCAGGAGATAACAGAGAGCAAAATGGGATACGGGGAGGAAGGCAGCAGGCAGGACAGCAGCCTTCAAGGGCAAGGATCCCAGCTGTCCGTGCTGTAGCTAAGCCTGCTGCAAGGAGTCTGCATGATAAAACTGTGCCTCATGCTAGCATCCTTCACTGCTCTGCTCTCTTGGCTGTGTTTCTGAGAAGCAGCAGCAGAATATGCTTATGTTTGTCAGGGAGGAGGAGAGATGAGTCATGTTAATCTTCTAGAGGAAGTTTTAAATGTCTGGGGATTACTTCTAATGAAGAGGAAAGCTTGTCAGTATTAATTGCCAAGGCAGGTCCAGCTCAGGCACAGCTGTTGACCTGGGACAGGTCTAGTGGAAGCTTGGTTGTCTATCAGTGAAAGGAAAATTAGAGGTTTAGGATGTCACTTAAAAATTGAGGAATTTTTCATCTGTGGCTAGAGGTTTTGATCCTTTCTTTGGGAGAAGGGTCAGCTGGCCCATGTAAGCTGCTTTGCTGCCTCACTGGGTACTCAGTTAAGCTAACCTCACCCTTGATTCGCCGTCTGTCCAGTGCAGAGACTTACAGAGGTGGTGTTTCCCTCTTTCCCCCAGTGCACAGCCTGTGGTTGTACCAATGCCAGACAAGTGTTAGATAATTTTACCTGAGCTGGTTTATCCCTCATGTGGCACGGTGCCATCTTTTTATCAGATCCCAGAAGGGATACGTTTTCTCTTCATTCCTCTGCAACAGTGGCTTCAGATCTGGGCTCCTGCAAGAAATACACGGTGACAGCTTCAGCCATAACGTGGCAGTATTTGAACAGCACATCTAACTTTGTTAATGAAGATCCTCCACAGCAGGGAAAACACTGTCTGTACGGATGAGCGTTTTGAAATGGTGCTTTTCCTAATTCAGCAATGATTTTAATAGTAGCTGAAATGAATTTGGTGAGCAGGGCGATGCTGTGCAAGCGGGCATGCCTCTTCTCTGGCAGCCAGAGAAGCCAGGCAGGGGTATAAAGTCAGTTTGCCATCACAGGTACCTTTGTTTCCCATTTGCTTTAGCTCTGGTTACTGGGGAGAGAGATCCCTGTACTGTGGTAACAGCCACGTGGCTTTGTGGGCAAATGAGCCATGGTCCACATGAGCCCTGAAAAAGCTCCAGCAAAGGCAGAAGGATCCTCAGCCTGATTTTGCCTTTGTCTTTCTGTGCCAGGGGAAGGGATCCTGATTTCTTCAGAGGCTGCAGAGCTCCTGGACTTCATCGATGAGCAGGGACAAGTGCATGTGATTCAGAAATACCTGGAAAAGCCTCTGCTTTTAGAGCCAGGGCATCGCAAGTTTGACATCAGGTAACCTTTTCTGCTCTTGTAACACCGGTTTCCATTTTCGTGCTCTTTTTCTTTTTAAGCCACTGTGACTTGTTCTCTTGCCCCTCAGGAGCTGGGTTCTTGTGGATCATCAATATAATATCTACCTCTACAGAGAGGGTGTCCTGCGGACCTCTTCCGAACCATATAACAGTGCTAATTTCCAGGACAAAACCTGCCATTTGACCAATCACTGCATTCAGAAGGAGTATTCCAAAAACTACGGGCGGTATGAGGAAGGGAATGAAATGTTCTTTGAAGAGTTCAACCAGTATCTGATGGATGCCCTGAACACAACGCTTGAGAATAGCATCTTACTGCAAATCAAACACATAATAAGGTAGCCAGCTGCCTGTTGCACAGGGGAGCATAACCCTTCAGTGACAGGGAATGTGTACGGACACAGCTGGGGAAGCAGACAGACTGACTGACAAGGGAAGGGTTTCAATTGTGTAAATGTAAGATAAAGCCATAAACACCCCAGTGTCACTGCTCAGTGAAGATGGACTTCCATAGGTGCTGCTCTCTCAAGGGTATGTGTCAATGTGTCTGCAGTTTGCTAGTTGTGGCTGGAGAAGGATGCAGTGAGATCACTTGGTAAGGGAAGAGGGTAGGTCAAAAGACAGGTCTGGGAGAGGCTGAGGTTAAAATAAGGTGTGAGAGGAGAAATGAAGCGAGACTCAAGTCTGGGGGATCTCACTACTTCCCCCACTATTAGGAAGCAGCATCAAATCGCATTGGTGTAGGTTGTCTTAGTCCACACAGAGCCACCTACCTCCTGGGCACAGAAACTGCCTGGAAGGAGATCTTAGAGATCATGGCACCGCAGAGAATCCAGGTCTTCGCAGTGCTCCTTCATGATGGAATTTACTTTCGAGTTCCCTACTGCTGTTACTTACATGATGTTTGAGGAACTCTGAGGCAAACAAGCTCTCAGTGGCAATTCCTTGGGGACCTGGTGTAGCCCTTTCTGCCTCTGACTTCTGCTCCAGGCTCTAATTGCACATTATGTTCTTCAGCTTCCCTAATTCAGTAGTGAGTGTGGCTGCTTCTCTCCAGCTCTTTGGGAGTTAACTCAGGGGTGTCCCACATGTTTTTTGATGGTTGCAGGTTGTCACTTGTCAGGGACCTGGTTACCATGACGTGTGTTGGATATGGCTTGTAATTTGGGGCAGGCCCAGAGCAACAGGGGACCAGTTAACTGTGCTATACGTGTGCCCTCAGAAACTGCAGTGTGACACATGTCTGCAGGGCTATTAATCTTGAGTTTCTGTTTTTCCCTTCACAGAAGCTGCCTTACGTGTATAGAGCCTGCAATCAGCACAAAGCATCTTCACTACCAGAGCTTCCAGCTCTTTGGTTTTGACTTCATGGTGGATGAGGAGCTGAAGGTCTGGCTGATAGAAGTCAATGGGGCCCCAGCCTGTGCCCAGTGAGTACTCAGTTTCTGTAGTACCCTTGTGATGCCACTGTTCATGTGCCTTACCCAAAACGTGGCTGTGTCCCAGGTGGAAGAAAGTGAATGGCAGGGAAGTTTCCTAGGCACCAGACACTAGTTAGTGCCATTTGATTTAAGTTCATTGCTCCTGTGTTTGGGATCTTGCAGCTTCTTTCCTATGTGAGATGGAGAACTAGCCTTACGTTTTGGACATAAGGGTTTGAATATAACTTGGGTCATCTTTATTGATGCTATTGGGTTGAAGTTCTGTTGCAGAATTAATGCTTCAGGGGTCAAGTAGTTTTTCAGTCTCCCTTGTGGAGCCACTGGTGGCTGGTCTTTACGTGAACAGATGATAAATGAATAGCATTAAGGGCAGCAGCTGGGAGTGAGTGAATGGATTTGCAGGCAGCAGGACCCCAGAGCACACTATGAATGCTGCAGACATCGGATGAAAGCCTCCAGCAGCTGCAGGGAGGCTGGGGCAGCCAAACAGCTGTGCCCATGAACATCTCTGCATAGACACAGCAGGAGGTGGTGTATTATGTGATGGAGATGACTGCAGAAGACTGAAAATCTTTGCTAAATGGGCACTGTATCGTGCACAAGCCTGGCAAAACAGAACAGACTGTACATCACTACATTAGAAGTTGATTAGATTAGATACAGATTAGATTAGATGTAGATTAGATTAGAACATCACCAACAGTAGTCAAAAAATACAGGTCAGACCTGCCTGTTCAGCAGCTTTTTCAGAGCTAAGGCTTAGGGAGCTTTCTGAGTTCAGGATGCCCCTTCACCATGTGCACTGTGATGCAGTACTGCCTTGCACACCCTTGTGTTGCTGTATGGGCAGAATTTGGCTGTTGTTGGGTGGATTTGGGTTGCAGCAATGCCCTGTTTGCTTTGTGCCCCTATGGCAAACTGCATGTCTACATAAAAATTAGTCAGGGGGTTGCTGGTTTGTCCCCCCTTCGTATCTCATCCTGTCTCTCTCTCATCTCTTAGGAAGCTGTATGCAGAGCTCTGCCAAGGAATTGTGGATGTAGCCATCTCTAGTGTGTTTCCCCTCAGTGACACTGGGCAGAAGACAAGCCAGTCATCATCGATCTTTATCAAGCTGTGACAACAACAGGAATTGCCTCTGCTGTGCACAGGGATAGACTGCACCCGTCGGGTCAGCACAGTGCAGTGGCTTATCTCAGTATCATGCCAAAAAGTGATAAAGACAGGCCACCTATATTCTGGGAAATCATGGAGGAAAACAACAAATCCAGGCATCCACACAAGAGCTGCAATGAGCCAGAGCTCTGGCCAAATAACTCTGCCTGCATTCACCAAAATCCACTTTAGAAACAGCTCGTGTGACTTTGATACCTGAAACAAATCTCTGGGAGAACAACAAAATAACCTTAAAATGAAACCCCAACAGGGATACTATAATACTGTATTAGCTCCTTCTTTTCTATAGAGATAACATTGGGTTTTTTAAAGGAATTGAGTGAAGAGAACGATGATCTCCCAGGACGTCGTGGCTGGGAAGTTGTCCTCCTCCCGCTGTGTTTCCTCTTTCCTCACCTACTGCATCATTAGTGCCTTAGCTCAGCTCCAAATAGGTGACTCCTTTACTTTGTTCCTGATATATTTTGTAGAAAGGAGCAAGCTCTTTTGCATCGCAGGATGCCTAAAACCAGGAACACCAAGAAGTCAGTTTCCTTAAGTCATGTTTCAAGCTGGTTGGCTGAACACCCAGGCAACGGCTGGCAAAAGGGTGCTGAACTGCAGGTGGTGAATTAACCCAAGCAAGGAAGGCAGTTTTGTTTATTTATAGCTATCCCGTTTCCTAATGAGATTTGAATCAGTGTCCGTCCCAGTCTGGTGCAGTTGGATTCAGTTTAAAAGAGGTAGAGACACCCCCTCGGGGCTCACTGGCAGGCTGTAGGATTTCTAGCATCACTTTTGTGCTGAGAGTGTTTCAAACAGCAGAAACCCAACCTCCTCAGTTTCTTCTGAGACACTGCAGTGGACTCAGCCTCTTCTCTCAGCTTTCACCTTCATGCATATGAGCCTCAAATCTGAAACCTTTCAACCCAAAAATGCTGTCATTTTCTGCCTTGAACGCAGTCCACAACTCAGTCCCAGCTCTGGGGAAGGTGGGTGAGGTTTTGCAGACCAGGAAGGGCGTTCCCTGTGTACAGGTTTGCTACACACCTGGGAAGCCATGTGTTTTGGTGGGGAAGGGGAGGTGAAAATCCTTGAGGTCCCTGAATTTCAAAGCTAACATCTACTAAATCCTTGGCTTATTGTCTACCCTGTGAAGTGCATCTGAATTTTCACTAAGCCCAGCACATCCCTCCTAAGGGCAGAGCTCAGTGGGTGGTGGTCAGGGCTGTGTTCTGCTGCCTCTGGCAGGAAAGATGCTTGGCACCCAAATAAGCCAATTCCTGTTACCCAAACCAACCAAACAAGAAGAGGTTGTGGAGGTTACAAGCTGCCTGTGTGTAATGTGAAATGAATTGAGCAATGGGATTTCTGCCTCCCTCAGAAGATCCTACTGCTTTGGTGTACTTGTCTTGGCTCCTGATGGAGACTTCAGAGATCTTTGTGCCAGGAAGATAATCCTGCCACCTTTCTGAAGGCAGGACTGAAGTGCTCAGGCCTCCTTGGAATGATGCATTTTGATGGTGCTGTCATGGGATGGACATTCATTGTGGACATGCTGTGAATGTGCGAGTGGCATCATTTCACACAAGATGAAGAGGGACCGTGAATGCATCACTTCATGAGGTGGGGAGCACTGGGTGAGAAGCTGGGAGAGGACTGGGGAGGAAGAATTTGTTGGGCTTTTTAACCTTATGGTAGCACATCGCTGTCAAAATGTCACTGGAGGCCAGGTAAAAGCATAGTTGTAACACTCCCAAGGTAGAATGTAGGCTGTAATGGTTGTCGCTCAACTTGTGAAGTTCACCACATCTCTATTGGCATTTTCAGATTAGCTTATGTGAGCCTAAATATCACACCTTTGTGCCCAGCAAAGGGAAGATCTAATAGCATTGCTCTGGTCCAGAATGTTCCTGGGGTGACAGAGGAGAGGCTGGGTTCTCCCGAGTTCTAGGGCAGACAAGAGCAGAGCGCAAACTGAGAAGGCAAAAATGTTCCCCATCGTGAAATGAGAAATGCTGATTTTCTGGAGTGCTCAACCCATCCTTCTTTTCTTCCCAAAAGGGAAATCCCTCCCTTAGTGCACAGTAATGTGAGATTCCTGCCCCTTGCGTGAGGATAAAGGCAAGGAAGCTGCCTGGATGCAAGCAAAAGCAGCTAGTGCTGCCAAGAGGAGACAAGAGCCTCTGTCTAACCCAAGGCCTGTTCCACCCCGGATTGCATTGTGGTGTATCTGCAGCCAGGCATTTTTTGCTGCTCAGTTGAAAGTGGGACTTCAACTGAATGGTAGAGCCATGAGCACAGGCAATGCAGCAATTCATACCCTGCCCATAACCAAGCTGGGCTTGGGGGAGATGGCAGGTCGGTGTTGCTTTGATCGTTACCTTGTCCACTGAGATTTTTAGGAATAGGCAACAGCCTCTGGAGGAGAACAGCAGGTCTATGTGTGTTTACCCCCTGCTCCCAAAGTCCTCCCCAGGGTAGGGCACAGGAGGTGGATGATGAAGGACAGAGAGCACAGTGCCTAAGGCCTTGCACAAAATACTAGCTGCAAGGTGGAGTAGAGGATGTGTGTGTGGCTGAGGCACATATTGCAGCCATGGGTGCACCTTGGGATGCTTAAGCAGCAAGGGATGCTCACAAGCCCTTGTGAAACTTGGTTTTTTTTTTAGGAATACACAACAATAAATGTTTCCTAGCTTATTTCAGCTAAAAGGTCAATAGGAAAACGTATTGCTCCCTTTCCTGAGCTTTCACAGAGAGTGGTGCTGGGTTTCCAGAAGACACCTCCTGTATTGCAGAATGTCTCTAGTCTTAGTTGTATCCCTTCATGTCAGGCTTGAAGGACTTCAGGCCCAGGTGCTCTGGCTGTGTTTTCCAGCAGGGTCTGGTCCCGCTGGACGCTGGGTTTCAGGTGACTCCCACGTGGCTTGTTTCATACCAGGTTAGTCGTGGTTACCGCGCAGCAGCTATTGTGCTCCTGCTGAAATCCAGTGGCTGCCCGCAGAGGATGCTGGAGAAGTCGAAGAAGGGCTCAAAAAGCTGCTTCATCCCAGCGCTGCTGTGCCCATGCATGTCCCCGCTCCCGGCATTTCTTGTCCTCTGCGTGGAGCTCTTCCCCAGGAGAGCAGTGCTGTGCCATCCGTAGGTTCATACCCATGTCTCATTGCCAGTGTCCGCTATGGCAGCCCTCGGAAGACCGTGGTGCTGAGAGGATGGTGGGGTACGTCTGGCACTGCCACCCAGCTCCGGTTCGTGTCCCCATGTCAGCATGTGCGTGTGGGGCCGGTGGGTCTCCGGTGACTCTTTCCCACGTCTCTCCTAAACCATCATTAAAACATGTGAACCCCATGGCCTGCAGTGTTCCTTTGGGGGGTATTGCCCCTTTGCATGGAGGTTTCCTCACCTCAGGGTGACAAGTGTGAGGCGGCAGCACGGCGCTGAGGGGCTGGCCTCACACGCCAAGGCTGTGCCAGCACCCATAGGAGATGGAGGGGAGGCGGTTTGAGGGTCAGGGGTGCAGAGGCAACGAGGGGGGAGTGTGTCAGACTAGCAGGAACATGGTGCTGGGGGGAGCAGAGCTCTGGGGGACGTGGCTGGGGCTGACTGAGGGGGGCAGCAATGGGGGGACGGCTGAGGGGGACGGCGATGGGAGGACACAGCGACAGGTGGCGCTAGAGCACCGCAGGGGCGCTGCCTGCGCTGCCTTGCGCGGACGGGCTTCCGCACCACCGAGCTGCGGTGTGAGCGCAGCAGCGCCCCCTAGTGGCCCGGCGGAATCCCAGCCGCTGTACGCGGCGCGGTGCGGTCCGGTCCTCGCGGTCCCGCCCCGCCGCTTCCCGTGAGGCGGCGCGCGGCCGGGCGGCATGGCGGAGTGCGGCGGGCAGGACCCGCACAGGCTGCGGCCGAGGCCGGCGGTGCGCAGCGCGCCCCGGCGGGACCTCACCGGCGCCCACATCGAGTCCTTCAACTACGCCGTCAGCGAGGGGGTGTACCGCGCCGTGCAGGTCTGCGGGGGGGGGCGGCGGCGGCGGCGGCGGGAGGGGTCCCCGGGGGTCTCCCGCCGCGCCTCACCCGGTGCCGTTGCAGGATCTGCTGCCGCTGGAGTTCGCGCTGAAGGACAGGCGGGTGTCGCTGGCCGTGGATGGGGTGTCCATCGCCCCCCCCGCCGTGCCCCCGGGGACCGTGTGCCAGGAGAGGAAGGTGTTCCCCGCCGAGTGCCGCGGCCTGCGCAGCACCTACCGCGGTAGGATCACTGTAAGTGTCCGGCTGCCGGGGCCCGCCCGCCCTCCCGGTCCGCGTATTCCTGCCGCTCGGGGTAGCCCCACGCCGCCGGTCCCGGTCAAAGCCGGCTGAGTCTGAAGTTAAAGACCCCTCTATGTAAAGTCCTTTTCCCGGGCTCACCTGCCCCGGGGGATTCTGAAGAGCTCCCTCTTAGTCTGAGTGTTGGTGAAGTGTGAGCTCACTGCGCAAACCTCCCTTCAAACCGAGCTCCTCATGGGCCCCATCTCCACTGTCCGTGTGTTCATGGAGTCATAGGATTAGAGAATCAGTCAGGTTGGAAAAGACCCTCAAGATCACCCAGTCCAACCGTGCCCCAGCACTACCAAGGCCACCACTAACCCATGGCACTGAGGGCCTCGTCTATGCTGTTTGTGAACTCTTCCAGGGACGGTGATTCCAGCACTGCCCTGGGCAGCCTGTTCCAATGCCTGACTGCCCTTTGGGGAAGGAATTGTTCCCAGTATCCAGCCTAAGCCTCCTCTGATGCAGCTGAGCTCAGCCCCCTCCTGGCTCCATCCTCCTTTCAGGCAGTTGTAGAGAGTGATAAGGTCCCCCCTGAGCCTTCTCTTCTCCAGACTAAACCACCCCCAGGTCCCTCAGCCATTCCCCATCACACTTGTGCTCCAGGCCCTGCACCAGCTCCATTGCCTTTCTCTGGCCCTGCTCCAGCACCTCAATGTCTGTATTTTAGTGAGGGGCCCAGAACTGAACACAGGATTCAAGGTGCGACCTCACCAGTGCTCAGTACAGAGGAATGGTCACTGCCCTGGCCCTGCTGCCACACTGGTGCTGATACAGGCCAGGATGCTGTTGGACTTCTTGGCTGCCTTGGCACAAGCTGCTCATGTTCAGTTCCATCAGTCAGCACACCCAGGTCCTTTTCTGCTGAGCAGCTTTCCAGCCACTCTGCCCCAAGCCTGGAGCATTCCATGTGGTTAGTGTGGCCCAGGGGCAGAAACCGGCGCTGAGCTTTGTTGAACCTCACACCAGTGGCCACAGCCCATGGATCCAGCCTGTGCAGATCCCTCTGTGGATCCTTCCTACCCTCCAGCAGATCAATACTCCCAGGCAGCTTGGTGTTGTCAGTGGCTTTCCACAGGACCTTACCTGTGTTCTTTTCTGTCAGATTTGCTTTGCCATCAGCCAGTCTGTTTGGAAGACCTTGGAAGAAGACCTGTGTCATCCCAGCGAATGTGATAATCCCAGTCTTGTTTCTGCAGGAATCGGGGTTTCAGAAGCCGCAGTGGTGTTCCCATATTGTAGTTCAGAGCTATAAACTCAAATCGTATCTTCACCATTTTTCTGAATTGCTCTGAAGTTTGTGCAGAGGAGAAGCAGCATCCCCAGCAAATATTTTCCTTTGCACCCAGTTGTTTGAATTTTTCTCTGTCAAAGCATTACAGTGATAAAAGCAGCTGCAAGTGCAGGATCTTATCTGAACATGAGAATGGAGCAGTTACAGGTTGTTCAGAGTCTTTCCCATGGCTCTTAGATTTTTCTGAGCTAGAGATGCGTTGTTTTCCATACCTGAATTATTTCCTATCTTTTATTTTTTTCCCCAATGTCTGTTTAATTCGTTTGGGTTTGTTGTTTTTTTTTTAATGAACCTGTGTGCAATAGTTGGAACAAAACTTTTTGCTCCCGCTCTGTTTTATCACCTTGTTATGTGCAATCCGGGAGTCCTGCAGAGCCACTGCCAGATCTTGTTACTGTAAATATATCATTTCCTTTCAGACATGTGAAAGATCATTTGCGAACGTGTGAAGTGAACAAGTCTTAGCAAGGGTCTGCAGGCTGCAGTGTGGATGGCCTCCCATTGAGCACTGTTTTTTTCTGCTTTTAACTGTGTGTTAATTTCAGAGGTTTCCTTTCCTATCCCGTGGCTGCCTTTTTCATTTAGGCTGCTCTCTTGGGGGGGTCTGAAAGGCTGAATGGATTGTACCAACACTTTACTAGCAGCTTCTTTACCTAGTTCTAGACTCGTATGATCTTCTGTAAACCCATGTTGGCTGTTTTCCAGAGTGCAGTCTTTCTGCCTGTATCTAGTAATTCTGCTTTTTATTGTATATCGTTACTACCATTTTTACAGTGATGGAAGTTAATAGATTGTGGTTACACTAAACATACAGTTAATACAGCAGGAAAGATTAAACTCAATTTGCTCATTGTTTGCTTTATGTCGTTTCAGGCTGACATCAGCTGGTCAGTGAATGACATGCCGCAAGGGACGATTAAATATCTCCTGGGGTATATTCCAATCATGGTCAAGTCCAAGCTATGCAACCTCTATGATCTGTCTCCACAAGAGCTCATGCAGCACCATGAGGAGGAAGAGGTAACAGGGATTTGTGGGTCAGGAAAATCTGCATTTTCAGTTGTCCTCTACAGCTTTTTTTCCACACCCCCTCCCAGTAGCACATCAGCTGCTGGTGATTGAATACTCAATTATTTAGTGCTATATCACTCACGAAAGAGTGAGCAAACTATGAAACACAATCTACAATGGCACACTGTTGCTGCCCCCTTGGTGTTCCGCTTGTAACTTTACTCAGAGTATTACTTGCTAGCGAAACACTTTGTGTCTAATGACATACTCTTTGGGGAGCTATAAATTTATCAGTGTTAAGTCTTTACGTGCCCAGAAAGAGGTTTTCTGCACTGAAGATTCCTCTCATTTGAGAACTTCAGAGTATTTATTTAAATAGTAGTTCATGTCAGCTCTACAAAGCTGTTCAGTTGACCACACAGGTTTGATGCATTTTTCTTACTTCCTTTAAATTATGGAACATAAAATACGGAACATCCCTTTCCTTTCACTGTCTACTATGTTTAAACTTAATAGTCACTGGCAAGGAGTGCAGCCTTTCCAAATGCAATGCTGAAACCCATGTCTTGTTATGTGTTTCATAGTTAAAACATTAGTTTGTTTTTGCTGTATGATTCAGGCATTTTTGCCTTTTAATTAAAAGGCTGGGTTATGAATTTCTAAGCATATTAAAATAATTCTTCTTCCCCTGCCAGGAAATGGGAGGCTACTTTATAATTAATGGCTTAGAAAAGGTTATTAGGATGCTGATTATGCCCAGGCGAAACTTCCCTCTTGCAATGACAAGACACAAATGGAAAAACAGAGGCCCTGGTTTCACAGAGTACGGTAAGCTGAGCAGTGTCCTGCAGCATCCTGCTTCTAACTACTTGAGGACAAAGAGGAGTGACCATCTAAAGCTGACTTGTGTTAGTTTGGCTTATTGTAGCTCTTGTATGATGTTAATCTTTTTTACTACATAATACTGCAAGCATGAGGCTGGTGCTTGCCTTGTGGGAGCTGTCTGATCTCCCCATGCTGAGCAAGGCAACTGTATTGCAGTGCATGTAGCCTTTTGTTTATGTGGAAGGTGACTTCAGTAGAAGTTAGTGTAAACTACTGTGTTTGTCTCACTGAATTTGCTTATCCATACTTTGAGATGGCAGATTTAAGTGATGCAAAGGAGATGAACCAGATTCTTGGCTGTCCCATTCCTGTGTCATGTATACTCAGTAAAAGGAGTTTAAAGTTGAATTAAGCCAGAAATTCACAGTTTAAACTTGGGTGTTACCAGCTGCTGATTTGACTGGACTGTGCTGCTGAAGCACATGCTGTAATTCCAGGGTAATGAATTCTGAGGCACTGCCAATTCAAATGGTCTCATTTGGTTTTATTTTGTCCTGCAGTGGTACAG